TATCACTTGCACTAAACCATACAAACAAAAAAAAACTCCGCCTCACAACTGTCCTTTCTGATTTTCTACTTTCCTGGGGGCCATATGAGCAGCCGCATGTCTTTACGAAAGAGAGTAATTAGAAGGATAGGCGTGTTGGTATTTTTGCGTCTGGGTTCAGCGCTCCTCTGAAACCCGTCAATTGAACGAGAAAGAGGCCACAGCATCCTTTACAATAAAAGCCGAGTACATTTTCTAACATGGCGAACGAGATCAGGTGATTTTGTCAAGGTACAATACAAGATTAAATATAAGGCGAACGAGATGAGGGGCCGTAAATTCAAAATGCAGCATACGACCCAGGTAATAAATAAAGCCAGCGCTCATGTGATTAGGTAAGGAGAGGAGGACGATACATCAAAGAGGGTCCAACATTCCAGATGTGTCACACTCATACATAGATACATACACAATATACATCTACACACAAGCTTCCCTCTCTCTAGAGTAAAGCTGGCATTCAAGAAAGTTCACCGGTTTCATATGCGAATAGAAGCCCCGCAGTTCCTGAATAACTCCTCAAAACCTCCCACGGTTCTGAGGGCCCCGGGATTAATCCAAAGGGATGGTCTCGGCCCCAAAACCTGCACGGACAGATTAAAGAGGCCTCCAAACAATGGGCTTAGGGTTTAGTGTTTAGGGGTTTAGGGTTTTTTTGAAGCCAGCGGACTTTTACGCCTGCACTGTTGCACTGGCTTGATGGACCTGATCCAGCCCAAAACACTCTACCTTTCGGACCAACACGTCAAAATGACAGGCAGGACATCAATCCCACTCTCGATCCTTCACCCTCCTGCCATTGACAAGAGATTGTACTTGCCCCCAGGCGCCGTCAATCCTCCTTTATTCCGAAGGATCTGCGTGGCGTTCCAAGAAAATCTTCACTTTGGTGCGACCTCCCTCCAACTCAGTCCTTGGGTTTAGGGTTTGGGGTTTAGGGTATCCACTGGACTGCCTCCTTTGCCCAAATGAGCTACAGTCTCAACTCCTAGCATCCCCCTTAATAACCCCCTCAATAAGACTCACCTATACAATCCCCTATATACCCCCCTTTAAGGAGTTTAGACTATTGCCCGAATGGTTCGGGATATCAGTTTTGAGGTGTAAGAGGGAGTGTTAGTCAAGCTGGTCGAGATTGATAACCTTCCTCTAATTCTAGGGTCCCAATCTCGAACGGGCCCCAAGAATGAAGGAGGCCTACACTGTGGGAACTGTACGTTTGAGCAATTCAATCTGTAGCTTCCTGTTACTTCATGTGGAAAACGGATGAGCAGCAAAGACGAAGTCATAGAGCAGCCCGAACATTGTAGTCAGCACCTGAACTGGCAGCATCCCAAACTTCCAAGGGCTGATCGGAGTTCAAGATTAAGGGCTTGGGATTGGGATTCGGCGCAGAAAAGAAGCATTCAAATCCAAAAAATGCAACCTCGAACCATGAGACTTAGATGGCAGCTAGCTTACAGCTAGGAAGTGGATGTCAAAGTTCCTATGATGATCAGTAAAAGCCCACAACTTGTATTTAGCGTTGCTTGATTTGATTCCTTGGTGCTCACGCACTGCTGCCTTCTGGACACCTGGTGCCCAGCTGCTCCTGCCCGCAAAAATGGCCCTCTTGGCGGCCATGCGACAATCAGGTGGCAGAAGAAATCCGCAATCCTGCAATATGGCCAGTCTAGAGAGTAGGGTCTTCCTCGCAGAAGATAGCGTGACAGTGGCCAAGAGTAGGTTCATCTCACTCATGTTTTAAAAAAAACAAGGCATCGTTCTTCTCCACACCATGGTGCGCCGAATTTTTCCACAGCTTCCAGCACTGAGGCGTTGATTTACAGTAGGCTGGGAATGTGCTGAACACACATCATCTCATTCAACTATGACCAATTACTGGCTCCGATTCTTCGTCTAAACGCGCTACCGGCAACATTGCAGATCTAATACGCGCGCAGCACTGAGGCCAGTACAGGACCTGCTTTCTTGGAAGTGCGGGAATAAGTTCGGAAAGCGAGTTGCATCAGATTCTGGCAACAGCATTCGAAGTTTCAGAACTTCAGAAGTTCTGTCAGGGCCTCACCACGTGCACAAGGACAAACCAAACCCTATAGACCGTGGACATCATGTTCATGCCAAGAAGCTGGCTGCCCACAGCCACCCACGTGTAAGGCTCGTCCGCCTGGCACCAGCAAACGCAAAAACTCATCGCTTGCCGCGCGCGGGCTTTTCTCTTACAAATGACAAGAAGGGCCATGCATGAAGATAGGCAAGGGACAGTGCAAGGGGTTGCTATACGGTTCGGGTTCGTCAGGCTCAGAGACATGCCTCAAAATACTTCTACACATAACTCTGGCTCGCAGTTCGGAGCCCTGCCTTCGCCGAGAGCACTGCGAGGCAAACAGCGAACGCAGCTGCAAGAGGCTTGGCAAGGCAAAGCACATAGCCCTGGGTTGCCAGCTGTCACGACATGGAAATCGGAATCGGCATGCTGACAAATTCTGAAGCACTCTCATTCGAAAAGAGGTGTCTCTGGGATTTCGCGCTTCAGCACCGGCAAGTCCAGCATGGAAGCGCCAAATTCTCACATCTCCCACCAGACACGTCACATGGCTGACTCTAATTCCCTGAAAACCAAACCGAAAGCCGGTTGAAGCGCGTTGAGTACTCGACAGCTGCGCAGGGGTTGTTTCCAAAGCCTTACTATGAAGGGTCAGGTGGCCAAATTTTTCAAGCTTGGTAGATCACATCATCCCCCTAAAGACAACCATTCCAAGAACCCGTGGCCTTTGGCTTACCCGGTAACCTCCCTGCTTCGCGGGCTACCTCCTCCATGCTCTTCTGCTTTGGATCTAGCCTTCTGGCTTCAAGCTGCTTCAAGCATCCTTGTAGGTCTGACCTTGAGGGTCCCTTCGCAAAGCATTACAGGAACCTCGGATACGTGCTGAGTGCTTGTGGTTGCAGTACGAGTTTGAGATTACAACCGACTGTACCTGTAGGGATAAGAGCTTGAGCTTCAGATTCCACATAGCCGGGAACAAGTGCTTGCCAGAGCAACACACGCAGATTCCAACCACCTGAAGCCCAGAACACCAGACATCGGAAAAAGTAGAACGATTAAAATGCGTCGAAGCCCTATCGCCTGAGTGGTCGCGAGTTCAAGGACCCATGGAAATGCCTGTGACCTTGGAACCAAAGAAACTCCACACCGCAAGGCAGTCTAGCAGCGCAGCAGGAGCAAACGTGCATCTTCTTCGGGCCACCTGAGCCGCGAAGGCGAGCAATGGCCCCAGGATGAGAAGTCTGCGGGGTGGGGGGTGGGGAGGGATGGACCTCAAAACCAACTCTGCTGCGAACTTGCTGGGCCTGGCCAGCTTCCGCACTGAAGGATCCTAGATATACACATGCAACACAACACATCGTCTGCATGCACACATAAGCTCGAAGTCCCCAGAGAACTTGCACTCAGCGATGGCAACATAAGCTCAGAGTCCTCTTAGCAACTACACGAAACGATACAGATATGTCAATCGTCGAGTCTCATGACAGCCTTTCAAGATCCGAACCCAATGCCCCCGCACCAAAGCCCAGCAGGCAAGAGTCGGCAGTAGTCTCCGCGAACGATGCTCCTGAGCTGAAGCTGGCTAAAATTTTGGGAAACTGAGGTACATCATAATGGCATTCTGCACTACAGTTTCTGGCTTCAGGTTAAACGTAGCAGAAATGAGGCCAGTCTTCGTCTTCCAGCCCTCGCATCATTAGGAGTCGGCTTCAATCGTACCCTGGACAGCTCGAGATCAGGAGTCAGCCTGGGCATTGACTGCAGCCTAGTAGCGCGAGGATCTCTACAAAGAGCAAGCCAACGAAGCAGCGGCAGAGGCATTCGAGCACCTCCACGCTGGCCTCGAAGTTTTGCTCAGGGCAAAGCTCGAATCACCCAGTCTTGTTGCCGCAGTCGGGTCCCTTGCTACCCGCAAAAACGGTGGACTTTCTTCCCCTTCACCCTCCTCGTTTCGTGCCTCCCAGGCTGGCCCCAAGCAGGAAGCCTCCTGGTGGAAGGGGGCAAAATGATAGGCTTTGGAGATCAGGGCGCATTTTCTTCGTACAGTCTACAGGAACAACATGCAAGGGGAGTCTGCAAGGATTGTCATGACGGGGGCTTTCGTTCAAACTTTCTGTTTATCCTCGCGTGAATGGCGCATGGGGTGGCGCGTTTGCAGCAGAGCTCAAGCTAAACACGAGAGCTTTCAGTTTACGAAGTTCCTTCAGCGCCCATGCCATCTTAGCCTATCTTCCCAGGGACATTTTGCACCCTGCGGCCTCGTCCAATTCGCTGTCCTCTCCGCCCGCATCAAAGGGCCTGACGCTGGCAGGGAGGAATGGGTGGGGATCCTCCTTGCGTCTTACCAGAGGGGATTACAAGGAAGGGCTTGCACTCCCATGCTGGTGCATCGACTTTCCAAACAAGACTGGGAGATATGGAAGTTTACGGGCGACTGTCTGGCAGTCGTCTTTTGTTAAACCAGGGATTCTCAGCATTTTTGGGATTTCCTCGGGAAAGCCCCTTTACAGACATTGCTATCCTTGACTGTGGATTGAGGCTTACTGCTGTTGCTTTTGCCACATGGGTTTCGCGAGTTTGGGCTGAGGAGCCACCATCTGATCACGCTTTAAAATCGGATGATGGGATTACTTGCATTGCCTCAGCAAAGTTGCATGATGTCAGATATGGCATGTTGAGGATGAGAACTTACAGTAAAGCAAGTCGATTGGGATTAAGATTTCCCACTCAGATTTGGAGGTCATCTGATGAACATAGGTGATGATATGGGAACAACTTCAACAAAGCACTAGGATCATGTTCAAGGCTACAACTGTTTGGGAGCCAGAACTTGGGATTTTCTTGAGCCAGGCACGTTGGCAGCTGCTCTTGGCAGAGGATCTTTGGCAGAAAGAACCTCCACAGGGGCTCGGAGTGTCTCGTGCTTAGGAGGATCATAGAACTTTTGGCTGTGTGCGAGCGTGGAGCGCAACCGATAAGGCACCGAAAGCGAGAGGGAAGGGGATAAGTACAAAGGTCATGTGAGTCGAGATGCAAATCTCAACAGCACTCCAGCTGTCTCTTATACTTTTAAATCAAAAACCTATGTTTAGGAAACTTCCAGTCAATAACAAGAGCAGTGAGAAGAAGCCTGTGAATAGCATCAAGGCTGAGCAGGAGGGACAAGCCAAGGCTCGGAGCATGGAAGTCGATATCCATGCCACCGACTTCCCACAGATAAGACCAACGTAATGACCAAAAATGGTAGTGACAGGGACGGTGAGAATGGTGGTGATGATGACGATCGGACAGCGCCGCTCTTCCCTGCAGGGTAGCTCTGAACGCCAATCTCAACCAGAGAGAACACACCCTCTAAACAAAAAGCGTTGACTCTTGCTTCTGATTTTATCCTACAGACTCATGCTGCATTCTCGGCTCTAAATGGACATCTCCGAGATCAGTCTCCAAGTTTTTTCCTACAGCGACTATTAATGTAGCTGCTGTGCGATGCTTAATAAGCAAAAGATTGAAAATGTTGTCTAATCACATGGCTGTCCTTCAGAAAGTCCTCACCAAATCAAAGATTATGTACAGTATGGGCTAGCTTGCAAAGTCTCACACAGCCTTTACGGAAGTCCCCTTGAGCTACAATACCTGCTACCCCACAAAGGTTCCTGCCCGTGAGACTTAGCACTGTCATGTCCTAAGTTCTGTAGGTTCTGTACTACTTCTCGAAAAAGACGCCCCCTGTACCCAGCTGGGAAGCTGCGCAAGCAGCAGTGCGGTTCCCAGAAGCCAGCACAGGAGGATCCTGGGCTGGGCCGACAATAGTAAAGTCACTAGTAGTGCTTTACTCTGAGTTTCCTGGAACCTTCAGAGTTTCAGCTTCTTTGTCAGGAATAAAATGAATAACGGACATTACAAACTTCAGGGAACTTCCATCTTCCATTTTACCGGCTCGTGGTTTCTTTCCTCCGGCTTAGCTCATCCCGGCAAGCAGAACTTTGAAGGTTTAGGGCTTTCTAATCCACTTCCGGATTCTCCGTTTGGGGTGTCGGGCTCACGGTTGAGGAAATGCAGGTTCAGCAGTAGGATGCGTAAAGGCTTTTGCGAATCACGTGCGCAAAAGCTTCACTTCACTGCAAGACCCAACGCTACCCATCTCCCGCCTACGCCCGCCACACGAGCTTTGGCATGAAAAAGTTACAGCTCCGGGGATGCACGGCCAAACTCACTTCACACACATCAAGTACACGGACAGCTTGCTCGGCGCGGCGTCCGGTCCCAAAAACATGCACCCCCAACCAGCTAACTACTTTCGAGGAGAGTAAAACTCTCAGGATGTGTTGGGCGTTGAAAATCGGAGTAAGGATGCGAGCCATCTTCCTGCGCTTCAATACAATCCCTTTGTGTTGCTATTGGCAGCTCTTGTGTTGGGAGTTGGTGCCCAGCAGTGCCAACAAGGACGACGCGCTGCCCTGGGTCAACGCACGCTGATTGCCGAGGACTCTCTATTCTAAATCCCTCCACAGGACATCCTAAGGCCGAGGTATTGCAAGCAGGAAGCTTAGTCCAATCGCGTTTCCTTCGCGGCAACTCGGACAGGGTCTGTCTCGCAACATCTGCCTGGGCTGGGAGAGAAGTACGACCCGTAGATGCCCTTAAGAAAGGCACACGGGAATGAAAGATGTAGAAAATCATCGGGTGTACCATTGGGACTTGCCACAGAAAGCTGCAAATGGGCACCTTACCTTCGACACTGCCACCTTGCCAACTTAAGTCAAAAAGGCAAAGACTACGGGTTAGTTCATGCGATGAGGGCAAGTCATGCCTCTTGTAGCCCAGTGGTAGCGGTGCAGTAGGACTAGTCCCGTAAAGAACCCACCTCCCAGAACACCCCTTTTTGACCTTTGAGCCTCGCGAGTCTTGATTTACGCCCTGCTTACCCTCAGCCAGCCCAGGTTCCACGCGGGGAGTATCCCAAATCCTTGAACTACCATTGTTCCCGAGTTGTATGCATAGGTGAGCCCTAAAAGCTTGCGGGGTCAAGCTGTGATTCGGCACAGAAGTATCCCAAATCCTTGAACTACCATTGTTCCCGAGTTGTATGCATAGGCAAGCCCTAAAAGCTTGCGGGGTCAAGCTGTGATTCGGCACAGAAATATCCCAAATCCTTGACCTACCATTGTTTCCGAGTTGTATGCAAAGGTAAGCCCTAAAAGCTGGTCGGGTCAAGCTGTGATTTGGCACAGGCAAAGAGAATGGCGTAGGCATTGTTCGTCCAAACATGGGCTCTCAACGGAAAACAACGCAATGAATGCTGCTTTAGCATCTTCCGGACAGCTAGGTTTGGCGAGCGGCGGTGACGGCACGAAAGAATGCCAGTCGCCTGTCATCGTTCTCCAATCCTCGATTAGTTTTCAGGTCGCGGGTGGGCGCTCAACATCACGGGCGTAAGTTCCGCCCCGTGTCACGTCAGACACTCTGCAGCATGGAATGCCCCACAGTTGCGCTGGCGCTGTGCACTTCTCAATCCTTCCTCCATCTTAAAAAGCTAAGGTCAAACACCCAAGACCAACCCAACGTAGTCAGATGAGCAGCTGCCAGCCAGGAGGTCAGCCTCGCAAGGTCCGTATGTGGGGCCGCTGTAAAACTACTACTGTATACAGGGAAAGCGCCCGAGCAATGCTTGAATTGTGGAACGGGGTGATATTCGGCTGTCTCTGCTATCTCTGCGGGGAATCGTCAGTGGGCCCTGGGCAAAATGCCTGAGAGAAACGGTGCCATCTGTAACACCACTAACACGACAGCAAATGTAATAGGGAGCTGTAAGGAAAGAATGTGGACAAGAAGCATGCTCGCCTTTGTGCTGACTTGAGCAGTAGAACCTACACAGGTTTACCTTGTACGATGCCTGCACACCGCTGCGGTTCCTCGCTGCTCTTCTGCATGAACCAGCCACACCCGTGCATGGATGGCAGAAGCATCATCATCGATTCAAGCTTCAAATTGAAAACCATAAAGGTCTTGGCAACAAGAACCCAAACACATATCCTCTTATGCTTTCTCAGAATTGGACTCCGCTTACGCATCACCAAGGCCAGGCCATCCCTATTTGGAGGAACACATGAATGAGAGACCCCATGCAATCCCTGCAAGATTCCGTTAACTAGTGCATCCAATGCTTAACCCTCATCAAGCTTCCCCTAAACTCTACCAAACCCCATCTCTTACAAAAAACCAGGACAAGTTCAACAAGGCCCTGCCGTCCAGGTACTGTGGTTGCACCAGCAACCATCACCGCTCCTCCGAGGGTGGCCGTGGCTTGCTCTGGCCGTCTCTCCTTCAGTAGCAATGTGACAGGACTTCAATGAGGAGGAGGAGGCGAACGGTAATACTTAGCCAGTTTAAAACCATCAAGGCCAGGAGTGGGAGCAACGTTCATGGGCAGTGGGATGCATTCTTGTCCTGTCTAGGAGGGACTACGACTTCGAGGCTGCTCAGGCAACTAGGGAGTACAAAGGTCTTCAACAGATTGCTCATATCTCTGATATCTCTGGTCTCGGTCTTTTCATCGTTATCTTCAGCTCTTGACTCCCACTGCTCTGCTCCTTCAGCCCTAAAACCTGAAACCCTAAACCGCTCTGCACTTTGCAAGCCGCACCTGCGGCCTCTGCACCTCCAATGTGCCGCTGTCCACAGCGCCCAAGAAGGCAGAACTGGTCTTGCCACCGGCCTCTCTTTGACAGGGCCATCTGTTGAATACTTTGTTATTCTGCCTCAGCTTTCCAATATGCAGTATCACTACAGAATGAACACCCCATGGCATGCAAAGGTAATCCTACATAGGAAGTCCAGCAGACCTTTGGATGGCTCCAGCCTGGCTTGGCGAGGCTTGGCTCATTGGCGACGCTTCGGGCGCAGCATCCTCCGCGGACGCAGAAGGCTTCATCACGTACGGCATCCGTCAGCAGAGGCACCAGCAGCAGCAGCAGCAGCAGCAGCAGCAGTGATCAATGACAACCTTACCACTTCCCAGGCCAACACCAAGAGGATTTCACCTCCAAGGAAACCCTCGCAGGCAAGAGATCATGTACCCACTCTGGACCTCTGTCTTCTGCGACTGCTACAGCTATGGTACTGAAGCCTGGCCAGCAGAGGGGTTCTGCCAGTTCAGTGATTTCCCCTAATCTGAGTCTGATGCATAGATAACTGAATTGTGTAGCTCAGGCAACAACATCCGAATCAGAGGAGAGGTCCATGGACGCGGCACGGACTCTACAACCTAAGTACCTCTCCTCTACTGTCGAGGCCTGTTTTGCAGAACTCCTACAGCTAGTCCTGGTCTCCCTGCGGCTTGCAAGAGGCCATGCGGTGACTCCCAGAGAAGTGGGTAGACGCCCCATCAAAATGGCACGGAAGGTCCAAACTTACGGGCCATGCTTTGGGCCCTTGCTTCAAATCCTACCGGCCGTCTACTTTGTGAAGGATGCGGTGCGGTCCTGTTGGATATGACTATATGACTGGGCTTCTCGTGTTCCTGCATAGTTCTGACATACCTGCTGCTCCGGCTTAACGTGAGACAGCCCCCATCATCACCAGCACGCGTACTAGTAGAGATTGGATCTAACAACGAATACTACGAAACTTTAGCTCAAATTGACGTGCTGACATGCTCCAGCTATACCAACAATTTCGTTGCGCTCCTTTTCCGCAGCTCATCGCATGAGGTGGTCCAGCACAGAGATGCTTTTTGCTCAAGGCATAAGGATTCTGATGGGATGCCTTGCCCTTGCTTGAAGTCAGTCTTGAACTTCTTTATGAACTCACGATGCGACCACAGTAACCCATGCCTGAAATGAGGCCTTAACCTCTTGCTGACCCCATGTCAAACAGGGAAGAGCCTCTGGTGATGCTTGCCTTCACCCTCTTTTGCTCGCAGATTTTTGTCAATGATTCTACCACTGCAGTCGCTACGGTAGAATTTTGCAAGAGGGGGGCCTCACCTTGACAGGTAATCAGAATGCAACTCCTACACCATCCCAGTTTCCATGTTATGTTTGATGTCATTATGCGTTTATACCCATTTGACTCTCAATTATTCAGCTCCCCTCAACCCCCGCTTGTCCGAGAAGGTCAGCCCTTAGCAGGCTCAAGGATGCGAACTTCAAGATCCGCATCGTGGCGCCTGAGTTGGGCGGCAGCTTGGCAGGACGGAGGTTGCAGCCCTGCCTGGGACCAACTGTCTCAAAACCCTCCCTACCTCCAATGCTCTCACTGCCTGGCCTCAACCGAGCAATCAGCCCTATGCCAATCTATTGTCTCTGTGGGTGCTGCTAGTAAGCGGGTTCTTCGCTCTTCAGAGACGCTTTGTGTCGCAGGCTGTAGCATCTCAACTACTGTGAACAGTCCCAGAAACGAAGGTCGCACTGCCCACAGCAGTGCCGGCGCCGGATCCGCGAAGTCCACCACAGGCGGTGTGGCAAACCACTGGCGGCCTGCAAGGCCGGAGGCAGTGAGACTGTGGGCCAAGAATCTCATGAACGCGGGGGTCATCTCTTGGGCAGGCGGTGAAATCCACCATACTGGGCATGCTACAGGGTTTTGTGGAGATACTTGCTTGCATGTGTTCACACGGCTTTTGGACCTTGCGCACACCGGGCCCACACATGGGTCACCAGCCAAGGCTCCATTGGGGAAACCCACTCTTGTTCGATGAGGCTCTTCCGGAGATCATCTAAAAACTCCAGGCTGCCCGCGCTCCAAGCACTGGTCAGGATTCCCAAACCAGGCAGGCTTAAACACCAAGCTTCCTGCAGTTCGTATGAAACCTCACGGAGATCTGATCTGGATCTTGAAGATTTTGGGCTTCTGCAGCCGCTTCTGAGGACTGTAATCCTAGGCATTCGGGAACTTGGGGTAGTTTTCCTCCACGACAATCTTTCTAACCCCCCTACAGATGACAACCCGGCCTTGCCATTGGAAGTCTCGTGCAGCGTCAGCGCACGAAATGGTCACCGACGAGTTCTGTCAGAGAGAACGGATCCCCCACTGCAAACCCTTCCTTGTGTGAACTCGAGGCTCACGAGCCACTAGGGTAATGCCACCCTTTAAGGAACAACAGTATCGTTACCTTTGCTTCCTTGTTGTTTTACTACCGCACATATACATAACCAGCTAGCTAAAGTACATTTCGTACTGAAGCGCTTGGCACACAGCAGCATGTGGTTTATATGCGCGGTACGACCAGTAAACCCTTTTCGAGAAGAAGCCCTTGTAACCCAGCGCGCAACCCAATGCAAGATTTACCTTGTAGATCACTGAAGTCAACACTTAGGCTGCGCACGGCTTGCCAAGCCCAGCTTCGTGCAATCAACGTCATTCTTGTTTCGTTCATCGTTCCGTTGTCATCTCTTGGCTTCCAAAATACAAAAACGCACCTTGCTTAGGCTTTCGCAGACGTCAAGGTTGGCTTCTGAAAATGAAAACCATGCAAGGGACGAGCTTGCTGTTCATGTTCATGTCCCAGTCTAGTTCAAGCACTATTGTTTTGCTTCCTTATGGCTTCATAGCGGATGGCAGGCCTGGCGTAACTTGCGGGCCCACCCTCTTTCAATTCCTGGGGTACAGACCTCTAAGCACTGGCGTAAAGCCTCAAATAACATGCGCCCACGCAGACGCATGGAACTTCTAGAGGGGCACTCCCAAGACGACAGCCCTTGTGACGGGACAGGAGCTGTTTGATCATGGATCTCACCTACGTGCTCTTAGCAAGGACTTTGCCTTCCAAACAAAGGGGCAGATCCAAGACCATGTCTGCAAACATCGGCGATGCTTTCAAACGAACAGACTGCAGCAGAATATTATCTGACACGGCAGCTCTGGTGACGGCTATCTTTCTCTTCATGCAAGTAACACACATCCCGCATGACGAATGCATGCCTCATAAGCCAAAATCAACCCGCATCTGGCCCCAGCCTCAAGACGCAGAGCCCAGCGAACACCTTCCTGGCGGCACTGCAGGCTCTGTTGTGCTTGGGTGAGAGCTTCTACGCTAGGCCTGGGCCAGGGATCGGATGACCAGGACGTTAGTCCTGGCCTTTCTTGTTTGAGCCTTGGGACCTTGTAGTCCATTCAACAGATGAGCAGCCTCCACTTCATTGTGCGTCATCCTTGGTGGCTTGCTGTTCGTCTTAGAACAGGCAGCCGGACACTGATCTCTATACCCTGGGCTCTCCCAACAACAAGCAACTACTCAAAATTAGGAGCCTCATACCCACACCCCCGAAAGGATCATCCTGAACGTCAGGCCACCTAGCCTTTGTAAGGGATCCCATACTCTTGAGGACCTCCGCGCCCTGGGCACGGGCCTTTTTGGCAGGCGCCGCCCAGGCCATCGGTGCCAATCTGCGTCCTCTTCAGCTACAAGCTTCTTGCACAGGGCCCAAGGGAGCCAAAGAACGTGTGTACTTACTTGAGCAACAATCATAGATTCAGTGTAAGACATGTAAAGGGTTGGCACTGTGCTCCCAGCAGTTCACGAGATTGCGATTCCACTTACCTCCCTCCGCATAGAGTCTTAGAGTCTAGAGAGCTTTAGCATGCCCTTTTGCCCTTTTAAGGTGGCTTTGCTTACCTCAAGCTGGCACCTACAGAAGGCAGGACATCCTGGATGCTCTGGCAGCAACTTGCAATTACTTCTTTCGCAGATCCATGGTCCATCTGGCAGGCCTAGGAACGAGCCGAAGGTATGTGGGTTATTCCCAAAACTCTGGGCCCATTTTGGTACCCCTACATATTAGGTGCCGTTATATAATCTTTAACCAAAAAGGACCCATAGTTTTGAGAACAACCCATGTTGGAAAATCATAAGCACAAGCTGTATCCCAGCGCTCCATTGCTCAACCAGGCACCGCTGGTACCTGGGCTCAACAGAAATTAAATTAAGCAACATCACATGTGAGTGATCCAGTTTGTGATGATGCTTTTTTGGAGTTTGCTGCCTCAACCATCTCGTGCCATCTCGCGCCTTCTCTTCAGTAGCGCAAGGGGTTCTCATATTGTAGGCCTGCCTGGGTTGCTTCAAGTTTTGTAGGTAAACCGGGATTGTCGAGCCCCAGCGCTCAAGCTTCACGCAGCACGTGCTTTCAGAATTATCAAAGAGCGGGTAAGAGCACGCAGCACTCGTTACACAAACCACTTGTCACAGGAACCAACACTTTGCGACCAACACATGCAAGCGCACCCTGAATCACACCTGCATGATGTGTGATCTCTGTAGGCAGCAGGAGCAACAGGCCTTGCTTCAGCCCCGTGGTTTTTGGCTTTCGCTCGCATGTTGGACAGTACTTAGTGCGCAAAAACCAAAAAAAAAAAAAGCTGTGCTGGTCCTTGCAGCCGCAGCACAGGACACCCAAACTCCTGGTGCCGCTGACGGCGCCAGTGGCTCAGTTGATGCCGCGCCATCGGGCTGGGGCCCTGGGAAGGCGAAGAGCTCTGAGAGGTCGGTGTCCTGTAGCAGGGTCGCAGCAGAAATACAGACTGGCAAGTTGCGGTTCAGGCTTGGGAGTTTTGAGGTTTGCTGGTTGGGTTGTGGTGGCTCAAAGGTTTAGCCTCTTGATGCACAATATTGTGTCCTTAGAGCAGAAATGCATTCTAAGGAACATCATCTACCAATTCAGTGGGGTTGTTCTAGACTTTTGAAAAGAGTTTCAAAACTGAGGGATCACTGAGACTTTCACGCTGAGACTTAGCGTAGGACAATGTAGGCATTCCCGGTCGCTTGCAGGTGGTCCCGCAAGGATAATCTGGCTTCATGCAAAGGCAATACATGTTAGCATGCAAGGTTTAGGAGTAAGTCAACCGGAAAGTGCACAAATATCACCTCAGCTTTGCACCCAGTGACACCACATGCAAACGAGCCGGTTCAAAAAAAAAACATTCCACACACTCGCGGCACTCATGGTGTACTGCCGGACACATGGAATAGACACCTCAGGTATCACCTCAAAAGCGTGAAAACTCACACTTCAAATACCCACCATTATGCTATTGCAGCTGAGGGCTCCCGGGGAATATCTTCTTGTGATCAATTAGTTTCATGGAATGCCTGCGTGTAAACTCTGTCACGAGTCTTTGTCCACCCTGCAGAATCCCTGCACAAAGCCTGGATGATCTTCCCCCGCAACCCCTAAACAACAAGGCCTGAGGCCAGAGGCCCAAGAGGAGCTCGTCTCCATGCTCCCACGCTCCACGCAGCTCCACTACCACCTGCAGGTTCTGTAAGTCGTAAGGCGAAACAGAGAACTGTCTAAAATCCTTCCTTGCAAATTGAAGCGTACAGCATACAACCCGGGAGTACGGGTGAAGGGAAACTATACGGGTAGCGTACGGTACTTACCAAGAACCAGTATACCAGTGTTGTCTGGGAATGTTTGGGATGATGAGCTGTTTGGTGCTCTCATGTAGGGCACCCGAAAATACTGTCTACACGGTTGCTTCTAATATTGCGCCCCTCTGCAATCCATCCATGATCGCCATTCCAAGCGCCCCAAGAAAAACTCACATCCTGAAGCCTCTGAACTTTGAACAATGTCGGGCGTAGATGCGCCTGCAGCTTTGCCAGACTTCAGGGGTCTATCAAGATTCTCCATGTTATGCTTCCAGTTTGGGGAAATGGCTGTCCCGCAACTCTCTTTCGGGACCAAGGGGCCTGTCCGGGAGGCGAGGGCTTCCGCGGTGCTTTTCCCTTGCCCTGTCAGGACTGTGTGGGAATGAGGGGCGCCCACTTCTTTGGCTTTATTGGCTTCAGGCTTCAGGTGACTGAAGTCAAGGAGAAACGACGAAACTAGACAATGAGAAATGAACAACAGGATAGTTGAAGACGGTCCTCTTGTTTTCCAGTCTGTCCAGAGTCTTGTGGGGGCGGGCCAGCACTTACTTCGCAATCAACCCAGGTCTTCAGTGGTACGTGAAGTCGCCTGGCATTGGCTATAGCTACAACTCTGCTTTCCCTACCTGCGGTTTGAGAGATGAACACGGCAATATTGCAATATTGAGAAGAGCCAGTTCCAAGCAGCAGAGTCATTCAGGCCACAAGGCCGCGAGTCACGTGCAATCGAGGAATCTGGGGTGCTTTGGAAGGTATGTTCCCGCTTCGAACAGCATTTGAGAATAATTTGTTGCAGACTCATCCCCATAAGACCTAAAGCTACTCCTTCTGCCCCCACTGCGAAGGGGCAAGAGGTCCTTGCCGTCCGGCGGTGGCGGAGAGGGCGCGGGCCGCCAGATGGTGCAGCCTGCATAGACCTGCATACCCGCCCCCCTGCCTCCTTAATGAAAGCCCACAAAAGTGCCTATGAAGACCACTGCTCTGATTGGGGAAAGTTAAGGTCTGGGGTCCAAAGCTACGTATTTGCTAATTCAAAGCTTTGGCTTTAAACCGTAACGTGCGAGATGTTAGGCTCAAGCCTAAAAACTTGGACTTCGATGTCGAAGGTTGAGCGTTTGCCTCATGACTCTTTCAAGAGCCTGACTTGCAGGACCCGCTGTCCTATACGATCTGCAGTTTGCTAGGCCAAGCACAGTCTGAAGGGATCTGCAAGGCACCTCCATCTCTTTGCTCACATGCCGTTGCTCTACGGACATCCGAACGGCCTCATGAGTGCGACGATATCATACGCAGGGCGTTTGGGCTAGAAGCTCTTCGGGATTGGGCTACTGGATTCGAGGTTGGAAGATGTTATCTTAAGGCCGAGGATTTCGAGTTGAGAGTGGGTCTCTGCCGAGACGCCTTCCCAACTTTACCGCCTGAAGGCTTCTAGTGAAGGAGAGGGATGACAGAACGTGAAAGTAGACTCTCATTGATTCTTCAGGATAATTACTATGGTAGTTTCCATTTTCTTTTCCATTATCCATATAAACCCTCAATATATTATAGTAGTTTCCA